GTACTCTTCTTGCTAACCATTTTCTTTGAGTAAAAAATCTTGTCCGGTGATTAAGGAAGAGTAGTTGGCTATGTCTAATATTTATTATTCCTCTATAGTCATTTCTTTGATGTAGCTTATGGTTTGCATACTACTTGACATTGCTAATGTAGTTGGTGTAGTAAGCTGATTTATTTTTAATTCGAAAAAAGGTTCACTAAAAAGTGATTAAATGAATCTTCAAATATTTAAGGGACATCTAAAAAAAGTGCTTGAGTTATGGAATTACACAACTAGTTCTAGAAGGGTTTACTAGTATTAACATAGTAGGTAATCTTGATGGTAAAAAATCTACTTTAGTGTATTTATTTATTTTTGTGGAAGGAGTTATATCTTGGTAGCCTAAATTGCAAAGTGTGTTACCTTGTTGACTAAAGATGTTGAGTATATTGTAGCAACCAAATAGATAAAGAAATGCTTTGGATGAAATGTTTTTTTTTTTTAATTGGGATTGAATCATAAAGAGTATGTGGTGTTTTGCAATAGCTAAAGTATTTTAGATATGAGTAAGAATACCATTTACCATGCTAGAAAAAGTACATTGATGTTAGATATCACTCATTACGTTTGATGATTGAGGAGCAACAAATGCAGTTGAAAAAGGTCCATACTGATGAAAAAGTGTTGATATGTTAACTAAGATACTTTGTACACACAAATTTCAAGTTAAAAATTAAACTTGAAAAATTGGAGACAAATAATGTTTTTATTTATTAGACTTATAGAGTACAATCTTTGAAAATTCTTAAAATAAAGAAAAATCCTTTTATTCTTTTCTTCAAAAGAAATTCGCTTCAAGGGTCTTGATGAGTCGATCTTGAATTGAATAAATTTGATCTTCGTTTCAATGGTTTTTGATGACTTGATTTTAAATTAAAAAAATTGTACTTTACTTCACGGGTCTTTGATGATTTAATCTTGAATTGTAGAAATTTAAACTTCATTTTAAAGGTATTTGATGACTTGATCTTGAATTGAAGAAATATGGACTTTATGTCATGGGTCTTGATGACTTGTTCTTGAATTGAAGAAGTTTAGACTTTAATTCAAAGGTCTTGATGACTTGTTCTTGAATTGAAGAAGTTTGGACTTCACTTTAAGGGTTTAAATGACTTATTCTTTAATTTAAGAAGTTTGATCCAAATTTTCAGCAGACTTGAAATCTTGGATTTTGGTCCTAATTTAGGGATTCTTGAATCTTGATCCTAATTTAAGGATTATTGGAATTTGGTATCAATTTAGGGATTCTTGGATCCTAGTCCTAAATTAGTGATTTTTTTTATCTTCGTTCCAAATTAGGGATTCTTGGATCATAATCTCAAATTAGGGATTCTTAGATCTTCAAACTTGATCTTCAGATTTTCCTTCTTGGATTTTTTCTTTTGGAATTCTGGAGAGATTGTTCTTTAGATATTTATTATTGACATGTATGAGCTTTGGAGACTTTGATTCTTTAGATCTTGTCTTCCTCATTAGATTTTCGATCTTTATTACCCGAGAATTATCTTTTTGATTTTCAAATCTTCGTTATCCAAGAATTGTTTTCTTGACCTTAAGATATTCATTCCTCAAGAATTATCATGGTTTTATTTTCTTTCTCAAGAATTGTGTCAAATGGAATAGAAGAGCTTTTTATTTACAGTGCCAGATGATGTTGGGTGAGATAAAAGATGATAAATCATGAATGAAATTTAATTGGATGACCTAAAACAATTCTTGAAATTTGATTGGTCAAAAGTTGAATTTATTTCAAATTTATTTTAATTTAATTAATAGATAAATTAGATGATTCATAGATAAATTTTAATTGGCCACGTTAGGAGTCATTGAGTTTTGATTGGCCAGATCAAGTGTATTAATCTTCAATTGTTATATTTAATTAATCATAAAATTAATTAATGATGTTATTATTACAAATGGCAATAATTTGTCACTTGAAAATTCTTTAATTAATTAATTAAAAGAAATTTCTTTAGACATGTGGCAACTTGTGATTGGATAAAATTTTCTCTTTCTACCCATCCTAGGGAAAAGATCTAGTTATATAGTAACTTGGATAGATTCATTAGCTAATGTAAGTTCCAAATAAGATTGCTATTGTGATCAATCTCCTCTTAATGGAGAGGAAAAATCTCACCTTTTAAACTAGTATTTGTGGTTAAGAAAGTTGAAAATCACCTAACAGTTTTAAGTCCTATAAGTTTTCTTCAGTTTGCAAACTAGGTGTTCAAACTAGCTACTAATCTCACTACCATTTGAATGGAACCCATCTTCACAAATAGAGAGAAGATCTTATCAAAATTAAAGTTGGATTTATGACAAAAACTTTTCACCACCAATCGAGCTTTATACCTTAGTAACTTGTCATCATTTATTTTTAAACTTGAACACCAATTTATTTTACAACGACCTTTTGCTTTTTTGAAGCTCAACAAGATCATGTGTGTCATTTTTCTGCAATGACTCCATTTTTTCTTCTTTTATCTAGTTCTTTCTCCCTCTTATTTAAAACTCTTCTTAAAACTGATTGCATTTGACTTGTCATGTTGACTGACTTGTATCTCTAAGTTCTATATCTGGTTCATTTCCACCATTTATGACTCCTCTAGGTGGAACTATTGCCATTGTCTAATCATAACACTCAACAGTTACTTATGTAGTGTGCTCATTCTTTTCAAAGTTTACTATGGTTTCTTGTTCATGGAAGACCGTATCTTTGTTTTTGACAATCTTTTTTTCATTAGATCTCATAGTATGTAGCCAAATTCCTCATTATCATATCGGGCAAATACACATGATATGCTTTATTATCAAGCTTTGATCTTTGCTTTTTCAGCATATACATGAATGCTTGATACCTTTGAGTGAGAATATGAAGCATTTTTTTCTGTCCATACTCTTTTTGAAATGTTAAAGCCCGAAGGAATTGATGAGGATATGTTAATCAAATAGCAGACTGTGTTAATTGCTTCACCCCAAAATAGATTTAGTAATTTTGGCATCTTCATTATACATCCAACATTTTCTACAATGGTGTGGTTCATTCTTTTGATTATACCATTGTACTACGATGTTTCAAGTTTTGTCATCTCATTTCAATCTCATACTTTGAAATTTAGTCTTTAAAGTTTTTGGACGTATATTTTTCATCAATTTTAGTCTAAATATACTTCAAGGATAATTCTGTCATTCTTTTCATCATGACATGAAATTTTTGAAAATACTTACATCTAACTTTTGCTTTTCAACATATACATCGAGGGGTTATAATGGTTCGAATTGAATTCAGTTCAGTTTTTTTGGATAATATATAATATTATGAATTTTTAAAATTTGATCCAAATTTAAACTAATTTTTTTTTTTTAAAACCAATTCAATCCGAACCGAATTCTATAGGCTCAGTCCACCGGTTTTTGAAATTTAATTTTTTTGTTTTTTATATTATTTTTATATAATTTTTTTATATATTTAAATAAATATTTAAATATAAAATAATTATTTTTATTTTATAAAAAATTATAAATATATAAAAACTAATAAAAATATATAATTTAGTGTAGTTTAGTTTTTTTTTTTTGAATGAAATCCAATCCAAATCTAATATATATATATATATATATATATTTAATATTCGAATTTAATTCAATCAAATAATAAAAAAGATGATTTGAACCAAATCAAACATTACAATTTCAAATTGGTTTTCGGTTTTCTCAATTTTTTCTCAACCTTATACATTCCCAAGTCTTGTGCAAAGCTTCATTAATAAAAATAACTAAGTATCCACTATCACCTATTGGCTTAACGTCAAAAGGATTGATTCTCAAGTGACAAACATAATAATGCAGAATTAATATATCACACTATAAACTCACAACAATCAAATTGTAAATTCACTAATCAATAATAATAATAAACAATGTGAAAAAAATAAAAAACATCACGATATACATGAAAAAGCTTTCCAGTGTAAAAGTTAAAACCAGAACCATCGACCTCTTCCACAACTGATATGCAAAAACCCTAACAATTTCTACTTTCACACATCGGCCATGAGGGAGCGCTTCTTTGCCCGATGCATGGAGAGGTGCCAGTAACCTGAACTTTGATACCAGTGTTAACTGAATTTAAGCGTTTTCAACTTCAAAAACTAGTTCAAGAGGTGAAGCTTTTTCTTGCATTTATAAAGTGATCATCAGCTCCTTCCAACAATATTTGCATACCTTAAGAATGAAACAGTGGGGACGTTGTAGCAAAGGGAATATATGTTATAACTCAAATAAAAAATATATTAGAAAAAGAAACCAAATGTTCAAATGATGGGTACCATTTTTATTTTTAAAAACGAACAGTGGTGGGTTACAGTTTCTCTGTTTTACCTTTGTTTTTTCGCCCTTGTTTCAACTAGATTTCTATGTACAGTTGGCACTCAAACCAAAAGATATACTAAGTACTTTCATTAAAAATAATTCTGATTATAAATCTAGGACCTCTCATAGAGTTTGAGATACACACATCTAGAAAAATCTACAAGGGGCCCGAAACAGGGTGGCATTTTGGTCAAGAACCAAAAAATTTTGGAAACAATAAAATTGCTATTAATAGAACGTGGAGAAGCACATATGGGAGACCGGGACTGGGAGGAACTGTCGGTATTTCACTTCCATTTAGTGGTCCTGCTATCATCATCATCATGTTATTATACTCATCCACTTGGACGAGAATTTTTCCACTATGTTCTCAATGAAAACTAGCAAAAGGATAGAACTTTTTCTTGGTTTAAAAGAAGTCAAGAGGAGTCCTGGAATCTGCTCATATTGTTGATGTAACAACGTTGTTATCACCTTTAGTCATCATATATGTCAGCACGGTTTGGTGAAATCAACGGTTGAAAGGCATATAATTGATAATATCTGATTTAGTTGTATGGTTTTATCATGATCGTGCATGTACTGTAAAGAAACTCAGAGAAGAACTTACGCGGGCACTAACGGAGGTAAAAGATGACAACATTGTTGAAGGGCGAATAGAGGGTTCATTGGAGTCATTCAATGAGCGTGTGAAGGAGATGACATCAAAACAACAAGACATCAAGGCCTTTGCTTTCAAGACAAAGGCTATGGTAATTTACTCCTGTTCAATTTATAATTGTCTTTATATACGTGCATTTTCTTTTCTGCTTTTTCAGTCATTAGTATCAATTTATGACTTAATTTTTTTATTTCTCAAGAAACTGTGGCTCAATTCCGCTAACACAATGTTTCTAAAGAATAATTTATTATTTTGTGGTATAAAGCTGTAGTAGTATATTAACTCCAACATCCTAAGTAGTGATTTGAGTTTTTATTGGCATTATGCTCTTTATCTTCATTTTTAATTGATAAGAACCAAAGGTAGGCTTACTTCACACTCTACCTTAGTAATTAAAAATATGAGGAATTTTTGTTTTTACATTATAGAATCTAGACTTTAATCACTTGCTACATGATTATGTCTTATATGACTTTCGTAGTAAATATCACACTATAAATTAAAATAGAGAATGGAAGAGGAAAAATGAAAAGAATGTTCAAAAGATTGAACTGTTAGCCTTCTTCAAGAGAGAGGGGAAGGAAAAGGACAAATCTAGCCAATTAGAATTACGAGTTCAACTCGTCTAGAAAATTTTCAAAGGAAACTACCATTATAATGTGAGACCAAATTCAAATATCATTTTGTTACTAGGTATATGGGGAATGGGTACCTTGTGACATAAAATGGATGAAACATGAGAGAGGGCATTGGGACTAAGCAATTGAGACACAGGTAAAGTAGGGAAAAAGGGGAAGAGAAAAAAGCATACGCCTTACCCATACTTTACGATAGGACACTAGGGCATCATATGCCCCACAATTTTCAATGGATGTAATTAAATTGTTAGATTGGCTTGTTGGAAATGAAGGTTTAGAGCGACTTCATTAATTTTATAAGAGCCAAAATCTTGTTTGATCAACTAAAATTTATATAATTTCAGAAATCAGTGGAATTTTTTTAATTACCAAGATGATTATAGTTTCATTTTTCATAAAATAAAAAATCTAGTTCATGTACTTTCAAAAGGATTCCTGGCGATACATTAGGTTTATAACTCCGGACTAATTAAATTAGATGTCTTTACAGTCTGAAAATTACTTATGATATATGCTTCCATGTGGACAAAGATGGTGGGTTGTGCTTGGTTTGGCCGTTTGCCATTTTATCTTGACCTATGTCTTTATTGGTTGTTTGCCCGATCCAAACAGTAAGACGTCTTTTGTCATCGGATAACATTTTGGGGTTCCACCAGATATTATATCTCATTCAATGACATAATTTTTACTGATCATACTACCTTGCCAAGCCATTGGTATCAATCGTTCTTTTAAGTGTTGTCCAAGTAGCATACGAGCTTTGGTCTTACGCTCCTGTTAGCACAAAGTTTGATGTCTCTTCCTACCAGTGATTCACTGGTTTCGCTGCAAAAACTAACTATATAGGATTAATATATCACGGTAAAGGAACATGGACAGGGTTCTTGCTATATAGGTATATTCTCAAAGGAACGATGGTCTCATGTGCTTTGGTTTTTTCTTTTTTAGGGTTAATTACCCTGTTAGTTTCTTAATTATGGTCACGATTTTTAAATTGTCATTAAACTATTAAAATTTTTAATATAATCACAAAAATTTGAGTTAGTGTTTTTTTTCACCTAACCGTTAGTATCTAATGATATGTTGAATGTTACATCAGCTGTCAAGTGTCATATGATATTATCATGTTAGTAAAATTTATCTTTTTCCAAAATTTAGTGTCACATAACATTAGGTAAAGTGATAATGACATATGACACCTAATAACCAACATAGTATTGTCATGTCAATATGTTGTCACAGACTAATGGTTAGATGACAAAAAAAGTTTACTAATAGTTTATTAACTAACTTAAAAAATTTAATAGTTAGATGATCATTTTAAAAACATGTCCATAGTTGATCAATGGTGTACTTTATCCTTCCTTTACATCATTAAATTAGTGTAAATATTGTTGTTGAATTTTTCTTGTTCCTCTGAAATGCCAAATTTTTAGAAATAGTTTTGACAGGAATTTCTCCTTTCATTCTTTTGAATCATGACGAAGATGCCAAGGGTTCTTCTTTGATTTTTGTGTTTGGAATAAATTTTTATTTTCTTACATATATATATATGTGTATATATATATATATATATATATATATATATATTCCTGGTTTGATGTTACTCACTAAACCTTGTTTGTGGGTGTGTTTACAGATTTTCTTGTAGTTTGTATTTGATTGTATGTGCTTATGTATGTATACGGAATCAATAAGTGACATAAGAAACTGCTATGTAGAATGAATGGAAACAGCTGAAATGAGGTTTCATTGATAAATTATATATTTTGAGTCATTTGTTCAAATGTAACTTACAATGTGTGCATCCATTTCAACATTCCTCTAATAAATCAAAGTACTTTCATATTTTATTTCCAGCTATTAGGTATGCAGCAGAAGGTCCAGTCAGCAAAGAAGCGTGAGTTAATGTACTGGTATTTAGCTTCACGGGTTGTCCCAAAGAGTTTACATTGCCTATGCCTGAAATTGGCAGAAGAGTATACCGTAAACGCAATGGCCCGCTCATGTTTACCTCCACCTGAACAAGTTTCACGTCTTGCTGACAAATCCTTTCACCATGTTGTGCTTCTGACGGACAATGTCCTGGCTGCCTCTGTTGTCATATCCTCTACAATTGAAAATGCAGCAAATCCTGAAAAATTGGTTTTTCACATAGTAACAGACAAGAAAACTTACACCCCAATGCATGCATGGTTTGCAATAAATTCTCTCAAATCAGCAGCAGTGGAAGTTAAGGGATTACATCAATATGATTGGTCACTGGAGGTGAATGTTGGAGTTAAGCAGATGTTGGAAATTCATCGCTTGATTTGGAGTCATTACTACAATAATCTGAAAGAAGAAGACTTTGAATATGAAGGAGAGTATACAAATTGTTTGGAGGCTTTAAGCCCTAGCTGCCTCTCCCTTATGAATCATCTTCGCATTTATATCCCTGAAGTAATTACTCTAAAAATTGCATAGAATTTTCTGATAACTGAATTGTTCTGAACCTTAAATTTCAGTGGACTTTGACATGTTCTAACTTTCATGGGTTACACAGCTGTTTCCAGATCTCAACAAGATAGTATTCTTGGACGATGATGTTGTAGTTCAACATGACATATCATCTTTGTGGACAATGGATCTCAATGGGAAAGTTGTTGGTGCAGTTGTTGACTCATGGTGTGGGGGCAACTGTTGTCCAGGAAGGAAATACAAGGACTACTTGAATTTTTCACACCCAATAATTTCATCCAACCTCGACCAAGATCGTTGTGCATGGCTTTCTGGTATGAATGTCTTCGATCTTGAAGCTTGGAGGAGGACCAACATCACAACTTCTTATCATAAATGGTTGAAAATTGTAAGTAAATTGTTGTGGCTGATGAGCTATTTGCCGATTAATCTTGCTTTAATGTCCATTTTATTGCAACCCAAACATCACCTAAATTGAGTGCATAAGGCAGTTTCTATCAGCGTTCGTTTGTTTCTGGAACTAGTAAAGTGTAAATTAAGGGAAATTAAACTTTATTTATTTATAAACTTCAGGGTAATACAATTTTCATACTGCATAATACAACGTACATGATACTGCTTGGAATCTCAGGTATGTCTATCAGTTCACATGTAGAACGCTTGTATCCTTGAAAAATTTAAACACGATTTCATGTAGATGGAGTCCCCTGACCCTAGTTGATGATTGGAAAAATAAAACTCTTTTTATTTTTTGGCTTTCATTGGTTCATAATGATCTTAATCGTAAAATCAAGTAATTCCTCTTTTTTTTCTTTTTTGTTATGTATCTTTTTACAGAGTCTAAAATCTGGGCTGACGCTATGGCAACCGGGAGTGCTTCCACCAACCTTACTTGCTTTTGAGGGTCATGTGCACCCTATTGATCCTTTATGGCAATTGGCGGGGTTAGGCTATCGATCCTTGTCGTCTGCTCATGGACAGATGCTGGAGGCTGCTGCTGTTTTGCATTTCACTGGCCCTGCAAAGCCATGGCTTGAGATTGGGTCTCCAGAAGTACGAAGCCTGTGGAATAGACATGTAAATTTCTCAAATAGCTTTATTCGGAAATGTAGAATTTTGGGGTAAGAGGACGAAGTTCTCTCACATTTACATACTCATTTCGGAACCAAAAATGGCATTAACAGTGTGGAACCAGAGGGAAGAAGGTTTTGCCTTCAGTCTCTGCTCATACTACCACACCGGTAATTTTCATGTCCGTAATAGAAATAGACGGAGGTAGTCCGTCATATACGGTATAGTAAGGATCTTCAAGCGTCAATAGATATAATGATTAGATCAATGTAGCTCTTGAAAAACAATGTAAATTACTCAAGTCAGTTAATTGAAATTACTTATCTCGATGGCAAAACTCTTTTTTTTTTTCCCAGTTTAGTTAAAGGGTGTTTTGCTTCACACTTTTTTTTTTAGCTGGGTTAGAACTCACGCTCACATGTCTTTCTTAAAGCCTCTCAACCGCTAGATCAAAAGGTAAAACACATTTTTGCTTCGCATTGAATTCATATCCCATTGCTATTTATGTATATCTATATCTCGATACTCTTGGTTTGATGCATGCTTTGGTTCTTTAACTTCTCGTTGAATGAAAGATTTAATATTTTTTCTGGCATGTGAATTTTTGAATTCTTTTTAAGTTGGTCCCCCAGAAAAGTCGTCTTTTTTTTTTATCTTTTTTTGAATGATTGATTGGTAGAAATATTTCATTTCTACCAAATTTTGTTATATAAAAACAAATAATTAATAATTGAAAAAAAAACAGAAAATTAATGTTATTCCATTTACTTAACTGCATATAAATTAATAAAATGCTAGATGTGTAACATCTATATACAAAATAGTAAATTCAAAATAAAAATAAAAACATACAAATATATTCAGCCCAACTCAAAAAGGTTTACCCTAAGCTCATTTTACTAATATATAAATCTTTACAACTTTGAGATTTTTAGAATAAAAAAAGTTATCAAAAATTTTTTACTCAAAACTTAATCCGAAATTTAATTATACACCTTTTTAATAGCTTATTCATTTAGCTATTTTTTTTAGTCTAATTATCTGAAATTACCAAACTAAAATCAAAGTATCTTATTTATATGAGTGAAACTCCTTATATCTTTATAAAACTCTCGATGCAGATACAAGATAAATTCTCAATTCTTATACTTCACTCAACTTTCGATCTAAGACTAAGAGATTCAAGATAAATTTCAACAAATCTTCCCTTGATTTGAATCTCCAAATACTTCAACAATATCTGTAAAACTAACATGCTTGCCTTTCTTCTTATCTTTCATCATAGGAATCCCAATAACTGAGCTTCCATCAAACATGTACAAATAATTTTTGACCCTATTCCCTTGTAAAATCATATTACCATTCTTTTACATTTTGCATCAATTATTTTGTCTATAATATGTATATTCACAATAAGCTAACTCACCAAAAACAATCAAATTGTAGTTACAACTAGGCACATACCTTATATGACGAAGTGTCCTAATAACACCATTTTGAGATTTAAGGCAAACACTTCGAATGCTTTAAATTTATACATTTTCATTGTTGGCAACTATAATATCCACATACTTATTCTCTTCCAACTCCACTAAGCAATTCCTATCATTGCAAATATGGACTGTAGCAGTTGAATTTAAAATCTAACCTTCATCATCTTTCAAAGTTTAAGTTTTATCCACATAAATCATCAAAATGACATCATCATCATCAGACAAAATAATAGTAGTATCACTTTTTCTTTCAACTGATTTTTGTTAGTCATTCATCCTTTTGAAAGCAGCCATATCCCTTCTTAACTTCTTGTAGTATATTTGGATATATTCCTTTTTACTACAATAATAAATTTTATATCATTGTAGTCTTTATCTCTTAACTTAGATCTCTCTCTTGATCAATCAATTCTCTTTTGAGTTCTTCTTCAATCATAACCCTTTACAACTAGTGCACTCACTCTAGGTGATGAGTTCTGTGTTCTCATAAACCTTTCGTTCTCATGCAATATAGCAGTCATATCATCCAATTTCAAGGCAGACCTACTCATCAATAAAGTCTAAACTAAAGGTCTATAAGACTTAGGCAAATATGACAACAAAATTAAAACATTTCTTTCATATTCTAACTCATCAACAGAAATAATCAACGATTGAGAAACTAACCTATTAAACTCATTCTGATAATTATGAAGACTTGTACCTTCTTTCATCCTTAGAGAATATAGATAATCTTCAAACATGATCTATTGGCCAATGACTTTGACGTATAAATACCTTTAAGCTTATCTCATAAACTCTTAAGAGTACTTTCAGTCAACACTCTATATTTTACTTTTAGAGCTAGTGCAAATTTAATAGTACTAACAGCTTTTTTTCTAATTCTATTTCAATTACTATCAAATATTCCCTCAGACTTGTTACTCTTTTTTATAATGCTTGATCCAACTCTTATTGTACTAACAAATCTTGAATCATATTTTGTCATAACGTAAAATTACTCTTTCCATCAAATAAAGGAATCTCAAACTTAGGCATGGGCATAGGCATATTAAACATACATTCTTTAGATAATTTGAAATACTTGTATTATCTTCATGATTTCTTGGGCCTATTTCACCTCTTTTCATGTCTTGAACCTCGCTCTAATATTACTTGTTAGAACATTAACACATGTGCAACAATCACATACAAAATAGTAAGCTCAAAATAAAAATAAAAACATAAAAATATATTCAGCCCAACACAAAATGGCCTAATTAATTCACTAACAAATAAATTTTTATAACTATGAAACTTTTGAAATGAGAAAAGTCATAAAAATTTTTTTATTTAAAACTTAACTTAAAACCTAATTATGCCCTTTTAATAACCTATTCACTTAGCTATTTTTTAATATCTTTAAAATCAAAGTATATTATTTATAAGGATGAAATTTCTTATACTTTTACTAAATTCTCGATGTGAGATATAAAATAAATTTTCAATTTTTATAACTTCATTCAACTTGAGATGTGAGATTAAAAGATTTAAGACAAATTTCAACAAATGATTACCTCTAATTAATTGACTCGAAAGTCAATTGGCTTGCCCCTAGAGATGTAATAGGTTTCTTTGTTTCTTGGCAATCTTCGCCGCCTTCCAAAAATAGCGAGGGGTTCCAGAGAACGCTATTCTTTGCTTTAATTTGGTCCATTTGGCTTCATTGAAATGATATTCTCTTCAAGACAAAGTTCCTTGATCTTATACAGCTTGCCAATGTTATTAAAGTTCGCCTTGCTCAATGGTGTCGAGCTAAATGACCCTCCTTTGTCGCCTTAGTCAATGATTTTTCCTTAACCCAGCTTCCATTTCCCCTACAACTTTTACTTCTATACCTCGTCCAATAGTATCCTGGGTTCGCCCTCCATTTGGTTAATGTTGATGGATTGACTACGGGAAAGCCTGCTGCTGTTGGTGTTGTGTTGCGAGATTCTTGAAATTTTTTTTTTCTAAAATCTTTTGGGGTGCAGGATTGCAACTTGGTAGAATTCATGACAATTAAGGAGGGTTTTGCTTTATTTTCGTCTTCTATTTGGGTAGCTCTAACAATATTATAGGTGAAAGTGATTTGAGCTAATATCCTTTTTGCTGACACCTCGCCCAATCGGGAGATGAAACTCATATCCAATCAAGTTGAAAATCTTAAATCTAGATTGAAAGGTATTTTTTTTTTTGGATTTATATTTAATACACTATCAACATATAAAAATTTTATACATTATTAATTAATATGATAATGTCACCTCATTAATGAGTAAATTTTTTTAAAAGTATTAATTTTTGTATTTTATTTTAAGCGTTAATAATTGCTCATTAATAAGGTGACTTCATATGATTTACTAATGGTATATAAATCTGTATACTAACAATGTATGAAATATAAACTCTTCTTTTATTCATATTTTATAAGGCTAATTCAATTGCTGGTATGCTTGCCAAATTAGGGAATTATCGATTTAATGAACTTGTAACGTGATTGTAATTGATTTTGACCTTTTTGTTATCGTTACTGTTACCCTCCATTTTATTTTTTTAATATAATAAATTTATATTTGACTTTCAAAAAAATTTTTGACTGTTTGGTAGTAGAATATTTGGCAGGAAACAACAATTAACATATAATGAGGAACATATCGTATTTGTTTAATCATATATCAAAAGTTTATCAATAAATGTCAAGAGCGCATCTGTTAAAGATATGCTTAATAGGATATAATACTGCCAGAAGTTTTTTTTATTCTTTTTCTTTTTGTCACAAATAAATGTATTCAATGTGGCAAACATGATTTATATTGGTTCATTGAGCTGTGCAATTACCAAGCATAACAATTTTGTTACCTACCTAAGATTGCGATTGATTTATGTCCAGCATTACTTAATCTAGTTTTTGAGTTGAATCAACCATATTACTTATCAAGTGTTTTGGAAGCACATAATACAAGAATAATCCTTTCTGCAATAAAACAGTTAAGAGGAGTGCAGTACTGCAAACCTAAGTTCACTTTCATGATGAGCAACTAGTTTTCAACTATTTATATACTATATATACTTCCAAAGCTGATATGCTTAAGCAGAGATGAAGTTGGTAGAACGTTAGTTGCTACTTGTATATCAGCTGCACAAAAAGAAAACAAAAATCCGAAAAAGAAATATGTATCAGAATATGAACATATTTTTACGTACTACTTTATTTATGAATATGGGGACGATCAAGTAGCATTATTTATTCAATACACATGCGACGCAGTCATGCAGAATCACATTATACCAGCTTTAAAAACAACAAAAAATTGCAAGAGATGAGGCAATAGCATCCTTTTCAAGTTTTTATGCATGGTATATATGGTTCTAGGGATTGTTACCCAATACATCAATGTTGATCCAAACATAATCCGACTTAAGCTGAGTATTACACTTTTAGTTTTCGACATGTTATTAGTCATTCCATTCAATTTGCAGCTCTTGCCTTCATACTTTCTGAATAACTTTTGAGAATATCATATTCCTAGCAATTAACTAGCAAACGGGCGGATCCACCTTTTGAAGTGATTGGAAAATTTTAAAAAAATTTGAAAGAAATATTTTTCCTAGATACTCTAAAAGTTTCCTTTGGATACCTTTTCTATGACAAAATTAGTAAATCTGTCGACAATTTTTTTCATATATATTATAAGTGCACACATTAATAAAATTCTAAATCCATCACTGCTAGCAAATGCATATTATTTGATGCGCTAAATCTAGTCTTGGTTAATGGTGGCAGTGTCCAACATTTTAAAGTAGATGGAAGAGAGAACCTTATACAAGTTGGAGAGCCGTTTGGTCTTGGTTGGAGTAATCATGACTGGGTTCCAGGAGGTTTACAGGGAGAAAGTTCCGATTATAGGGCTGTGAAGTCTCAGTCTGGTAGACAGACCCTTGTATCAGGGTTGATTGTTGTTGTGCTCTTTCATTTTCAGCTATCTGCATATACCATCCAACATTCACAGGCAGAGCTATGATAAACATATAACCTCTCCATACGTTTATGATTGAAAAAGGGCAAGAGAGCAAGAGAGAAAGAGAGAGTATACCTTTGCTCGCAGGTACAAATTATCATTCTGCAGCTCAACTTCCTAGAAAATATGCAATTACAATTGTTAATTAGAAGACTTTGATTTAACCATGAGCATTTGATCTATGCATCACATGCAATATAGAGTTCAATGTACTGAAAATCTGGGTCTAACAAGGATGTACAATTCCCCTTTAGGACTCAGAAATTAATTAATTCATTAACATGTTACAATCTCATGCTTCCATCTTAGTTTTAATTTTTTTTTTTTTTTTTGTTTACATAGGAAGCCGCAGTCTTAAAATAGAAGAAGTTGCGGCTACTGTAATTCTAATATGCATAGTAATTATAGAAATAAATATGTATATAAAAGCAGGGATGAAAAATTACCCTCTTTTGCATGAACTCGATTTCTGCAAATAGTAATTCGTTCTGGTAGAGTATAAGAATGTCAGTGAAGCAGCAAATTTTCTTCAATAAAATAAATAAATAAAGAAAGAAAGAAGGAAAAGAGAAAAGATTTTAGTATATATTCTACCACCCCCAAGGTGAATGCACAAAACCTTTTTGGATCTGATTCTACTAATTCCTTTCTCCAGTCTTCCCTCCAGATTCTTGAGTTCCTTAGAGGTCAAAGAGCCAAGAGACTCACCAAGGATATGCCTGGAAGAAACATCCATCATTGATGACACGAAAGTTTTACAGCAGAGAATGTATCAAGAAGGGAGTGAACGAGAAAATAAGGGAAAAAACAACCATGGATAACACGTGTTTGAGTGATGATATAACCAGTACCTGTTCATGTTCTGAACATCACGAATTTGTCGTCGGAGTTTCGTGGCTTCTTGCTGGTAAAACTGAACGTTGATTTATAAATAGAGACAGTATCAGTGAAGTATCAACTTTTAAAAATATATATAAGAACTTGCTAACCGTATGAATCTGTGCACTTGTCGTTGAAAGTTGTTTTTATTTTCAGAATATGCAGCAGATTGACAGAAACTAATTGCTTATTGACCAAATATAATATAGTTTCTTTTCACTGAAAGTATGTTGAATTTCTCAAGATTTTTTGTATTTTATCTCATAAACACCGACATTGTATAAAAGCAATTTATTCTTTAAATCCTCGTTGAAAATACTACAGCGATACGTGGTTTGTGGTGAAGTTAAGAAGCTTAGGCAGTTTATGCAATAAAGTAATGTGGTTTGATGATTAAAAGTATACTTAACCACCTTGTATTTTCCTTTAATCATATTTGCTCTTTATTTGTCATGTGATTATTTTATTTCCAGAGAAACATTTTTTGATCTATCCATTTTCATCTAAAACTTCTACAATTTTCCTTTTTTTTTTCAACTATTTTGAAGATCCACCACGTATGATAAAAGGTGAAGTTGAACTCCTTACTTTCTCGCTTAATTTTTTTTTGTTTGGTTTCACCATCATACACATCATGAATCAATATTTAATTTTTTTTAATTTTTGGTGTTTGATTTCGAGATTTACTGATAGCAACATAATGGATTTGGGTTTGATTGGTATATGAAGGTGAATTTGATTGGGTTCAAAGGTTTCCACTGATTAGATTTGTGAGTTTTCTTGGTTGCAAGCTAGAAATTAATTTGGTTTAGTATTTGTGACTTTTTACTAAAATATAACAAGAAATTGAGTTGAAAATTAGGGAAACAGATTTTCTTCTTCCAAAAATTTCAATAAATAAAAAATAGAAAAAAAGAAAAAAAATCCAGTAAAAATATTGAGATAGTTCTAGTTATCATTTCATTTGCATTACTTGACATGACAAGCTTCTTTTAATTGACAAAATCGACATTTATATATATTTTTCAAATAATAAAAAATCTCGAAAACTCGCTTGAATAATGTAAAAAAAAAAAAAAGGAATGAAAGGCCTCAGCTATGGAAGGATTTTTACAAAAAACCTTGGAAGATTAAAGAGGAATAAAATTTGTGGTTTTAGAAAGAGAAACAGTGTCCAAAACTTATTTGGAATTTGTTAATAAGAATTATAAAAAAAAAAAAACAAAAGAAAAACTTTTCTGAAAAAAAACCAAAAAGTCACGACCTGGAAAAAAAAATAATAAAACAAGTCTTAAAATAATTGTCAGTTTTTAAATTTAAGACATATTTAATCTGCTTTAATCATAGGGTGCACCTTTCTCTTCTTTGTAAATTAAATACATTATCACACATCAATTTTGTGTACTACATATAGCACATTAACTAGTGCTTAAAGATATTGGTTAAACATTTTTCTTACTTTTAATCTATACATGGAAGATGCATACTGACCTCTTTTTCTTATATAATAATAGGCATGAGCATACATAAACACTCATGTACTTTAAAATTTAAACAGATCAAACACCCCACTCCACTCACTCACTTATTCTACAGATGCCTTACCGTTATCATTTCATATTAACCAAAACCAGCTCTGAACTGTGAATGAACATTATCATTTCAGCATTTAGGTAGAACTCATGCTTGTGCTTGTAAAATCCTTTTGATTTTATTTCCTAATTGTAGACTGTGGTTGTGTAGGCTTAAGGATAAGAAAAAAAATCATGGGATAGAGTGAAGACAAAGAGAAAACCAGAAGACCACGTGTCACCATTACTAGAAAGGATGAATCTTAATTAAGATTTTCTTATATATGAAAGAACGTGAGCCATTTGTTCAATGAAAGACCATTTAATTTACTTCATTAGCTGCATTGAACTTGCCTGAGTGTTAGCTTCAGCAACAGATCCTGGGTTTGACGCATCTGCACATGCTTTCTTGTATCTGTCAATTGTTGCTCTCACGCTGCAAAATTATATCAACACTACTTCAGGTTATTGAAATGAGATTCTACATTGTCTGACTCTGAACACAAAAGCACCATTTTGTTCACCATGCATAAACTAAACACCTTACCTGCCCTTGACATTCACTGCAGGTACATATATGTAACAGAAGAAATCAATTTGTTAATATTCTTTCATAAAGCAATAGATTCCTGAATTCACTTAGAAATTAAAGTAAATTCTTTTACAATTAGATTATATAAGAAAGTTCAAAAGTGATTCCTAGGAATATATATAACTATAGAATTATTAATCACATACTGCACATGTTGGGCTTAGTTTCCTACATGTGGAGGTGGTCTAAAATTAAAGTCTATTCACCAAGGACTTTTTAATCATTTCATACTTGGTTTTAAGGTTTTAAACCCTTATATGACTGAAAATAGAAATAAGAAAGTATGGCACTAAAATAGGAAAAAAAGAAGAAAGAGGGTTTTTATATAGTTTTGGTCAAGTAGTTTGATCGAGATCAATTCGTTATTCGAACTTGACTTCCAACTCGTGGCTTGATATTCGATTCGAACTCAATCGAGTTTCATTTTCTTAGCTCGAGCTCGATTCGTAATCAAAATTGAGCTACTTGAACTCGCTCGATTAATATGTTAAAATAAACTCGATTCTTATACTCGACAAGAATTCGATTATTTGTGCTCGAACTCGAATTCGAGATATTTTATTAATTAAAATAATAAAAATAATTTAAATATAAAAGCTCGATTATGCTCGTAAGCTACTTGAGCCGGATATAAAAATACTCGAACTCACGATTGATGAATCGAGCTACTCGAGCTCGAACTCAACTCGATAATAATCAAACCGAATTTAAATTTTATTTGTATCGAACCCGAGTAGCTTGCGATACTAATGTATCATTTACACCCCTAATTATATATATATATATATATATGTATGTTCATGTTTACAAGTGGAAACTTTTGAAACTGGCTTCTTACGCAATAATAGCAAGATGGAATAAGAGTACGAACACAATAAACGTACAACTTTGTAGCAACTTAATAAAGGGTTGAAAGAGAACTGCCAGATTAATACTCCAGATAACTTCAACTTCTCTATATCTTATACATTTCTTATTAGAAATCCATGCCTTAGAATGAGATTTTGAAATCATTCTTCAGTATAATTTGAAGACTTTTTTGTGTGTATAGAGACTAAACAACGTAAAAATGATGCAATATATTTAGTATTTTTAGTAGTACAATATCTAAAAAAAAAAACAAGATAACTTCATATGTAAGGGGGAATATTATAATGAATGAGGCTTAACAAACATGTAGACAGAGAATAAAAAAGAAATAGTGTGAATTGAACATGCTTGTTCATAGGAGTTAGGATTTGTCTGCACAGAATATGTTTTTCTTTAGCATTTGAAAATTCTTCTTTTTTGCTATTCATTTTGAAACTAAATGTAGCTTTCTTTTCTTCGTATACAAGAATCATCTTGGACTAACCTCAAGTTAGTACCACTCTTTCTATAATCTTATCTAAAATGATTTTATACCATTAATATCTATGTGAAAGGAGAATGGGTAAGGTTAAGGCATTGGTTTGTAATCCGAAGGCGCTAGGTGGTTTAGGAATTTTTGATTTGGCTCACAAGAATGTTGCATTGCTAGGAAAATGGTGGTGATGATGGTTTTGTTGAGTGGCTACCCTCTGTTTTACATCAAGAGAAGATGTCTAGTATGTGGAGGAATGTAATATCTATTACGAGCATTGAAAACATTGATAGATTGGTGGGCTTTGGTAGTTGTCGAAGGATTTTGGGGATGGTGTTTCTGTTTACTTCTGGCTGGATAAGTGGGCGACTGTTTCCCGAAACTATTTTCCTCGGCTGTAGACGAAGAAATAAAAGTGACTGAAGCGGTAAAAGAAGTGGGTAGATGGGAGATCGGGTTTAGAACGCAATTGAGGGAATGGGAGAAAGAATCCTTAAAGGAGATACTGGATGAGCTAAAAAGCTTTCATCGTTGAGCAGTAAATGTGAAAGGCAGATATGGGAGATGCAAAGCAATGGCACGTTTTCAGTCAAAAAATTATTCTCTATCTCGGAGCAACAGGTGTGGTTTATCTCAATTTGGAAGTATAATAATCCTACTAAAGTGCAGTTCTTTTTGTGGATGGCGACTCTAAATTGTATTCCAACTAAATCTTTCTTGAAGTTTAGTGGGGTCCATTTTGAAAATGGACAAAGTTTATGTAAGTGGTGTGAGATGAAGGAAGAAGATTGTTGTCATGTTTTGGTTTCATGTCCTTGTTCCTGGAATGTACGGTGTATGGTTTTTAAGTGGTGGAGCTTAAAGTGGGTGATGCCTAACTCTGTTAGCTTAAAGTTTACTTCACTGCTACTCTGAAAAGACAATGGTTAGCAGTTTGTGGAGCTATATTCTCGTCTTTATGGCTGTTTAAAAATGAAACTGTCTTTAATAACAAGAAATATGATGGGGGAAGGTGTGTTGTTCTTGATTAAACTAAGGAACTTACATTGGATCAAAGCCATCCAAGGCTATTAAGAAATTGATGAATCCATTTGGTGGACAGTCCCAATTGAATCGGCTCTAGTGCGCCTGTTGGTAATTTGAGATAAATTATTCAACGTTGGTGGATCAACTCTTGGTTCCACTGGTGTGGCTGGAGGCGGATGGGTGTTGAGAGATGATGCTGGTATGATTTTGGGAATTTTCTGTGGTACCCTCCAATTATGCGGAAATTGTCGCTATTAGAAAGCTCTATTGATGTTCTCTGAATCACTTTGGGTAAAGCTTAAAGAATTGGTAAATGAGTCAGATTCAAAGGTTATCTTGGATGGTGGCCTCCGAATTATTGGCTAAACTTCAATAAATTGGATATACTCATAAGTGAAATAACAAAGGTTGAGTTTAATCACATTTCCAGGGAAGCAAACTCCTTTGCAGCTCATTAGCTAAACTGGGTGGCAGCAGAACTAAGTTGTTTTATGCTAGGATTTAGATTTGTATTTCTGATTCAAAGGTATATGTTTTCAATAGTTTATCTTTTTGGAGTTGTGCTTGCAGCTCTTTACAGCTTTACTGATGCTGCTTTGTAATTATCACTTTATAAATAAAATTAAATCTTGGTTGAGAAAAAAAAATCTATAATGTGTATAGAACATCAATGTTTATAAAACCTTTGATCTTAGTATATTTTTTATAAATATTAATAAATTTTATTCAATTTATAAATAAGAATTCTACTTTTATTGAAAAATTTTCTTTAAATAAATTTATTTAATAAATAAAAAAATTATAGTTTACGTTGATTTTTTGTATGTTCAGTTCACGTTCACATGACAAGCAATCAATTTTATACTAATCTATATATTTTGTACATAATGACAAATCTTAAATGTTAATATGCATTTTATTAATTTAAATTACATTTACAATATACAGCTATATTTTCAATAATATAATTATTATTTAAAAATAAATTAAAAAAATAAGTATTTAATTGCATGTGACAACAGATATTATTTGTTGGTGCACTTAATGTATAAATCTACATAGTATGAGTGAATCACAGCTCTCAATCTCACAAAGATTAAGGCTTTTAAAACTTTTTATTAATCAATGCAAATCTTGAGTTATAGACCAATATAAAGCTTTCCCTATAACTTAAGTTGTTCAGATATCTTGCTATGAGACAAGTAGGAGAAAAGAATGAGTAATTATTAACGTCTAACTAAAATATAAATATATATATATATATATATATATTGAATAATCTCTAAGAAAAATTTTTAGTCAATTTTCATTTCTTGAGATAATGAAAAGTCTTTGCATAAGGTATGCCTCTAATGAAGAGTCAAATCGCAAAAAGGGTGTTTTCAACTTTTCATGCAAACTACAACATTGTTTGTTTCCCGTAAGTTGATATTGAGAAAATATTTTTTTGGAAAACATTTATATTTTTTTAGTAAAATAGAGATTTTCTGTTATTTGAATGATTTAATAAAAATATTTTTTATTATTTGGTTATTTTTTGAATTTTTTAAAATAATATTGACATAACTATCTAAATATTAACATTTATTTTTTATTAAAATATTTTGAAATTATATATTATTAAAATTATTAATATTAAAAAATAATTATACTTTAATAATAATATTTAATATTAAAATATTATATTAATATAAAAAACACTTTAAAAAACTAATTATTATTGTTTATACTAATATTTTAAAATATTATTTTTATTAATATTGTAATATTGAAATAGTAATATTTATTATTAAAATATTAAAAATATTTATACTATTAGAATATTTATATTTTATATTGATTAAATCATAAAAAAATATTTTTACTTATATTTATTATTAAAATAGTAATAAAAATACAACAATAAATAAAAAATAAAATAATATATTTTAAACTAGAAAATATTAAGAAAATATTAAAAATATTCATATTATGAAAATATTATTATATTATTTAATATTAATTATTAAAATAATAAATATTATTAAATATATTATTATTTATTATTAAAATAATAACATAATACTATTTATTATAAAAATATTAAAAATATTTATGATTAATAATATACAAAATAAAAATAAATGTTAATATTTCAAAATTTTAATTAAAATTAAATAAAATATTTTTATTAATATAACAATATTTCAAATTGGGTCCAATTAAATTTGAACTTAAAATATCATGTTCAAATTCTTACTTAAGTAGAACTATAAAAATATTTAAAATTAAATAAAATATTTTTAATACTGATATTTTAATTTTTTAAGTAAAATTAAATAAACATATTATTTATTAATATAATAATATTTTGAGTTGGATCAGATTAAGGTTGAGTTTAAAAAATCATATATAAGATCTAATTTGAATAAAATTATATTCAGACACATTGATAAGTAGTCATATCTATAGATTCTTTCTGGAAATTGTAAAAAAGGAAGAAAATTTTCAGAAAAATAATCTCATTTTTCATTGATCAATAAGTCATTTTTTATTGACTAACTATTTTCTATAAAAAAAACACAAAAAAAAAATACATAAATCATTTTTCAAAAATCATTTTTCACGAAACAAAAGAAACCTACATTAACATGGAAGCCTTCTACTGTGGATTTTCTTTTCTTCTTTTTTTTTTTTTATTTAAAGCAAATTATTTCTACTTGAAAAAAACAAATGATTTCTTCAAGTGGTCTACAAATATCTAATGACCTATTTAAAAAGAAGACTTCAAATTGATCTAACCTTTTTTATGTTATAAACAGCACTAATACTTTCTACTTCACGTTATTCCTCTATATCTTATATACAAAATAATATTCTTAATTAAGTTGTCTATATTTTTAAAGTATAATAATAAAAAAAATCCCTAAACTAAAATTAAATAATCATTCAAGCCATTTAATTACAACCAATTAAATTCTTAAATATTTATTTTTGTTAATTAAGCTCTTATTAGACAAAAATTGATTAATCATTAGCATTCATTTTCATCTAATTGAAAATTCAATTGAATGAAAATATATGTTTAATGGTTCAATTAAGTGAAAATAGATGTTTAAGGACTTAATTAGATAAAAACAAATATTTGAAAGCTCAGTTAATTTCAATAAAACGATAGAGACTTGAATAATTATTTAATTTTTATTTAGGGGTTTTTATAATTAACCCTTGATTAACTTTTAAAAAAACTATGTTTGTATGTAAATCATGTTGAGTTAGAACGACTTGATGAGGACGTTATGTCAATTGTAAAGGGAAGATTTAGAAACTTTTAACCTCAAGTTTAACTGCCACCACGTATAGGTTCAGTCCAACTTTATATTGGCTTTATTTGTTATGGTTGTTTGATTAGTTAGTTTATTGAGGTTTTTATTTATATACTATTTGATATAATTAAAGTTATTTTCATATACTTGAAATTTGTTTAAAAAATTTTCCAATGCCTCTTCATCTCATAAATATTATTTTAGTTTGACTTTTTTTTTAAATTTTCAACTTTAACCTTAATTATTTTAAATATCTTATCAAAATGAAAATCTTAACAGCATATATAATTGAAAACAACTCTATTCAAAATATTTTTAGTATTTATGTTTCAAATTGTAATTAATGGCAAGTTGAAAAATAAAAAAAATGTCAATTTTTTATTAAAAATAAATCTCAATCTAGGACATTATATGTGGGGTGAGGAAATTAGCTTCACATCCTTAAATCTTATATGCAGTCAACAGATTTTAACATGCATTTCTATACTTAGAACTATATGGGGATCAAGGGAGATGTAGGAGTATAATAGGAGTAAAATAATTTCTTTTACTGTATCCATAATCTGAAAGAAAATAATGATAAATCCTAGTTCATCCTATGAAGATTAACAATTGAATTTGGATTAAAGGAAGGAAAAAAAGCAAGGAAAGAGAGCTGCGGAAAATAGTGGCCAAAAGGCAAGGCAGGGCCAAGCACTGCAGAATAAAGTAAAGCAGCACTTTTTTTAACTCATAGAAACAAGGCATCTGTTTCCTTAATTTTGTCGAGCTACTACTAATTGGTTGCCTCTGCCACACGGGCAAAAGATCCTCCAATATGATTGGCTAGAATCCTTTAACTTTATCTTAGATGAAGAGTGTAATTAAGGCATTTTGCAACATCTAATGACCACAAAAATCCTGGAATACCCATTGAAGAGACCAACCAATGCAAGCAAAACCCAAAAATACTTTTAAACAAATATCCATTCCTTCGTTTTATGGTATTAAAGTAAATTAAAATAAATATGGGTTTTTTTTTTAAATGATGAAAATGCATGAAAAGAAAGAATTTGTAACTTTGGGTGGGTGTGAAGTGTGAAGTATAAAGTCTGACTGACTGATTTGTAATAATCAGAGCGAAAATTAAGCAGTTGCAGGCTCAATGCTGCACGCTCCAAGAAAGTGCAGAGAACCCCATTGGTTCGTACCCTTTGTTTTTCCCCCCTCTCCCCTCGCCTCCCCATCACTTCAACTTTTTATCTCTCTCGCTTTCTCCTATGTATAGCTGGTAGCATTTTCTCTTTTCTATAGTGTTTATATATCTTACGTATTTATACCTAATAAAACAAATGCTTGACTTTTGTTGATGTTATTCGTAAATTTGTATCAATGAGTTTGTTTTAAGATCTTTTTCAAATCTTTCTTTTAGAGTTTGTAACATACAAATGGTGAAGCACATCAAGCCATTAACTCACAATTTTGTTTTCCAAAAATATGAAAGCCTTCGTTTCTTGTTCCTTTTTCTTTTTCTCTTTTTCTCTTTTTCTCTCCTTCCCTAATTGAATATAATATGAAAACACATACAAAACTGTAAATCTATAAAATTTGTTGGTTATGTAGTATATAATAATTGTTCTTTCCAAAAAAAGAAAAAAAAAAACTTGAAGATTTTGAGGCTTTCGCTTGGATTTATGAACATTATAAACTTGAAGCAGCATCTTGTCACGTAAAATGAAAGCAGACTCTTTTTTCTTTCTCTCCTATATTTACAAAAAAGTAAGGGTGGAAGGAAAGCAAAGAAATCTGAGTTGGAGAAACTTAAAAAAAGTGATCAAAGAATATTTTCTCTGTTTGAGATTAAAAAATATAAAAGATAAAAGATAAGCAAGAGCAAGCAATGAGGTAAGAAGAAGAGAAGCCAATGAAATAAAAGGAATCATTGACACCAATATTGTCAGTACTGACGAACGGAAAAATCTTGTCTGACGTGACCAAAGATTCCTATATGGTGTAACTAAGAGAAACACACCTAAGCTTAACAGAAGGAAACCCTAGCTTTATGCACCCAAAACATTAAAGAAAAATGGAGTAAAATTCCCTTTTAATTTGTCAAAAAATTTTGTTTTGGGGAAATTAATACAAACCCTAATCTTCAAATTGGACACCTTCTTTTACCAGAAATCATCTAATAAGAATATATTGTTGTTAGAAAGAGAGAGAGAGAGAGAAAATCCAGGTACCGAAAATATTAGTCTATAAAAACCTTTTTTCTTTATTAAAACTCCTTTTGACAGACTAAGTTTAGATTTGTTGAGAGAAATACCCATTTGGGAAAAAAAACCTAATCTAAGATCTGATTGAGTGACTGGTTTTGTCACACATCCATGAGACCATTACCTTAAACTCTGTCAGCTGATTGAAGTTTTATTTGTGACGACAAGGGACACAGATGACTAATCTATATAAATCTGGGTTTTGAAATCTGACAGGAGGGTTCGTTTTGACTATGGTTTTGTTGAACTAGCATTTTTTTAAAGAATTATATATATATATATATATATATGTAGTCAAGACATGGAAGATATGAGGAATGGGCAAATGAGAGATTGACACAGTTTTTGTTTGTAGCAGACTTTTCTGTAAGCTGTGAGTAATGGATGACATGTGGAGAGAGAGAAAGAATAAGAAAAGAGACTCTGCTTTCACAAATCTGCTGCATATATCATTAAAACCCTAGGTGTTGCTCTTGCAACGACCACTACTTTAGATCATCTCCATATCTAATCTATCGAACAAAGGGAAAAGAGAGATGAGAAGAAAGGAGAAACAAACCCAAGGCTTAGAGAAGTACAACAAACAGAAAATAAGAAACCAGGAAGGAAAACTAAGTAAATCTTTGTTAGAGGAAATTAATCTTCTTACTTTAAAACCCAAGAAAAGAAATTTCTCATCTGCAAAAAAGAAATCCTTGTGTTTAAATGCAAAAGAAAAGGTCCATGAAAAAGATGTCTTTAACCATTATCATACCTAACTCCAAACATGAAAAGGAGAAGGAAAAAAGAAAAAAACTCTGGAAGTTGTTGATGAATTAACTGAAAAATGAAAATAGAGCATATATTAAGGACAGGCAAACCTGTTGTTAGCATATTCATAGAGACGGCCACGGCTGGAGAAGACTATGAGAGCAACCTCAGCATCACAAAGCACAGACAATTCATAGGCCTTTTTGAGCAGTCCATTGCGGCGTTTGCAGAAGGTGACTTGTCGATTAGTGGTGTTGGCGATCCGCTTAATCTCAATTTTACCTCTTCCCATTTTTTTCTGGGAAGAGCCTTCCGGTTCTTGATTAGGAAACTCCGTGGTTGAAAGCTGAAAAATAATCAAACACAAAATTTTGGTAAATTTGATTTGCACAGATAACTACCTTTTGAGAGCCTTTGATGAATTTGGGATAACACCAAAAACAAACAAACCACAACTTCTACTAATCGGTTACGTTTGATTTTGGTTTATAAGCTCTAACCTGGTAAGGAAACCAAGGAAGAATTATAGGGAGAAGTTCTTATTAAATTCAACTCTTCTCTTTCGTTTGATGAATATAGTTTAATTAGAGCAACAGTTTTGAGTTGAAAAAAAGGGAAGTTTGCCTGCTTTAGCAGATGGGCATTTATAGACTGAAAATTGACCCTTTAACAATCAGCCAACACAAAATGTGTATATATAATTTTGTTGGGTGAATTTGTATTGGAGAAATAGAAAAAGAAAGAAAGGGAGTAGGAATGCTAAAGAAGGGTGCTTGATGTTCACTTTAAGATTCCATTAACCATCCATTTCTCCTTGTATGGGAAAAGGAGAAGGGTGATGATAAGGGGTACTTTGGAAAGTGACTAGCAGGGGAGGAGAAAGATTTGAAATAAATTTCTTAGATGAAATTTTTGTAATTTTTTACTAGAAATAATTAAATCAAAATCAAAATCGAAAATTAAAATCAATAGATTGAAATATCTTATCGCATACATCAAGTATGTAACATTTGAAAAAAAAAAATAACAAATTTTGATATATTTTTTAAATAATTATTTTTAATAAAAATATTGACCGAATTTTTATCATTTAATAAATATGAATCAAATTTGAATTATAAATGATATTTTTAATGATTAATTTTACATATTTTTAATCATCATATTAAACTCTGTTAATCTATAACTTTAAATTTTTAATTAAAACTTTTATTAAATCAATTTAACAAAAAATTTATAAACTTCAATTAAAAACTTTATCTAAATTTTGTCCGACTAGCAATGGTCTTGAATGAGACGTGAGTGCTTAGTTGCTCTCAGAAAAAGAAATACAATTTAATGTACTGGAGTAGAGCAGAAAACCTATCAAAAAACAAAATTAGATGACCTCCCATGTTATAATTTGCCTTGTGAAATTTTGGGGTTGGGCCCTTTATTCTAATTTTGTCATCTGACCCTCAGCCCTCTTGGTTCAAAGTTTTTCACTATCCCTGGCTCCCTCTCTCTGTCTCTCTCTTACATTATTAGAATTTTTATTAACGTGATCTGCTGCTAAGGGCTGTGAACCACAGCTTGTGACGTAACTGAGGGTGACTCCCATGTGAAGTTCTGCTCATCTTCTATACTTGGGTTCATTTATGGTAAGAATAGAAGAGGCCCTTTGATAATTTTGCTGCACTCTATTTCACCTGTTTGGTTTAAGGGAAATGTAGAAGTGTGGGTTCCCCCATTCCCACAGCCCAAAATGCCAGTCCCCACTATCATTGTTATGTGCACCATGCTCAAGCAGGCAGCTAAGCACAGCCAAAGCTAACTGATTTTTTTTTTTTAAGTATACAGTTTCTTTGTCAATTTTGCAAAGCATTGAAGCTACAAATTCATAAACTATTATTCACTTGTTCTAGTATCTAGATTCTAGGGATCTAGTGTAGATGAAAATATTTGTATGTACCACGATTCTTTTCCTTCAATATTGTACACAACTAAAAGGCCTGGCAATTTTATATATTCAAATTGGAATGGTCGGTTTCAGTTTTGCAGAGGTCAATAGGTTAAAAGCCTTAGGATGGTGCTTATTGATGGGGATGGCCACGAGTAATCATTTCCTTTTCTATTCAACAAAATGTATGTACGAGTATGACTTCTTCTGCATATAGAGCTTACTGCAAGGCAAATGTCATATGTTGGCAGATCTAATAGGAAAAATATAGTAATTATCATTATAATAATAAAACTCTTTTTTAGAGATTTTTAAAGTGTTTATGATTCTTTATGATGTTTTTTACATATGAGAGAAAAAGTTATGCACAATTTTTAATTTTTTGCAATTATAGTAAAATAGTCATATTTAATTAGAAAGGAGTTCATTTTTATCTATAAATTTTTACAAATATGAATAATTAACAAAGCATAACATGATAAATATAAAGCATTTATATTTAATAATATTACAACATTAAAAATATAATAATTTAAAATTTCATCTACTACAAAGTATTGATTTATATTTTAGTTTTTACCACACGGTGAAATGGTGAGAAGGAACAAATTCTTCGCCTTCACTCTGAGAGCCATCCAAACCCTATCCCTGTGGCATTTGTCCAAAAATAAGATCATTTAAATTAAAATAGTCTCCTTGCTTTTGATAAATTTGGAGTTGATAGGGCACATAATAATTAAGAAATGACGAAGGCTGAGATGGACAATAACTAGGTGGAGGTTGAAAATGTGAAAGGGGTCTCGATGGATAATAACTTTGACTATTTGTTGAAGATTTACTGTAATAAAAAATTATTAGAATTTGATCTCCAACGAAGAGCCTTTAAAATTATTATATTGGAGCTTTTTGCTTTTTTTTTTTTTATTTATCAAGCTTTACGTTTGCTTTTATTTCTTTTAGATTTAGTAAATGAATTTATTCTGTATTTTAACATGTCAATAAAAAGTTTTTCAATAACAACGAATTCATATTCTCAATCTAAGTGGGTTAAAAAGTTTTTATATTTTCACCCCTATCATCGTTAAAATCACCATCACTACCATACACTATCATCAATACTGTCATCCGATAAACTTAAAACTCCCATCATCATAACTTTGATTTGGTATTAGACTTAAACTTAATTGAAATATATTTCTCTCATAAGATTGATGTGATTCTTCAACTTTTATTTGAATATCAAATTATAATCAATCAAAAATTTAATTATCTAATAAAAGATTTTTTTTCTCTTGTAGTCGTTTTGAAAATAGATGATTATCTTTCGGTACATGGCTCAAACTAATAGGATTAAGGTTATCATTTATCTCGTCAATGCTAAATTTTTTTATGTCTCATTTATAGTCTCATATTATAATAGGTATAATTTAATTTATGAAATCTTTCAAACTTTAATCTATTTTTTGATTTGGTGCGAAATATAGCTAAATAGAGTCTAATTTCATTTTCAATTTGATGCAAAATGTTTGTCATTCTTGCAATCACTGTTTCTGGTAAAATCTTTTTTGGCTTAGAAAATAAATCAAAAGCAATGCATCAAGCCATGTAATTATTTTCCAAATGCATTATAAACAATATCAAATCTGAATATATAGGAACAAAGCAAAATACAAGGAAAGATGAAGTAGATATGCAGGCTTTCACTGATTATGTAGGTGGCAAGAGATTACCTTTGAGCACCCAAAACAATTACCAATTGTCAATTTCATCAAACAATTGTCAATATTTGGGGTTCTTTTCTTCAATAGTGAAAATACAAACATGGAAAAATAATACCCTTTGTTGCTTTATTACCTTAAAATATTCAACTAAGCATTCTAGGTCCCACCAGATTATAACTACAAAAAATCGATATTGTTCCTATATAAGAAATCATGATTGAGAGAAATTATACCCTTCAACTCCCAATAAAGGAAAGGCTCTCTCCAACATATAAGAGGAACTAATGCCCGGAACAAGCAGAAAACAATAAAAAAAAGAATATATAGAACAGAAAATAAAATATTACTTTTCAAGTTTACCCTATTAAAATCTCAATCAACTTGCAATTTTGGAGTTTTGGGGGCGTTTTAGGAGAATCCGTAAGACAGAAGATGAAGAAGCCCAGTAAAAGTCAATTGTTTATAAGTTTATGTAGTCCAAAATAATTTTTTGAAAGAAAAATGACTGAGCGAGTTCTATATTAAATGATAAGTAACTCTCTATCTAGTTATCCCATTTGACAATTTTTTGTTGAAAAAAATATATATTAAGTAGTATTTATTAATAGTTATCAAATGCATTAAAATAATAAACACCAAAAATTTTAATTTTCAATACATTAAAATTTTTAATGTGTTTTTAATAAACCCTAAATCTAATTTGTTTTACCTATTGATCTTCATGGTTTATGCAATTAATTAAGCTTAAGTGATAACAAATTAATTTGTTTTTGCAGCAACTAGATAGTATATATACACTATAAAGAAATTATGTTTAGTAATGATAAATTTCATTACAAAAACCACATTTATCATTGCTAAAACACTTTACAACGGCAAAAAAATTGTTGCAAGGTCATTGCTTCTACTTCCATTGTTAAAAGCTAATGCAACTTCTATAATTTAAAATGTTGTTTTAGAAAATGCCTATCGTAATGTCATTGTTGTATGAAATGTGTTTTCATGAAAATTTAATATGATACTCTAAACTTTATTTTACCGACAACATATTTGGTTGTCAAAATTTATCGTAAACATTGTAAATATTTTTACACAACATTATTTTTGACATTGCAACTTTTTTTATATTTTTGCAATGCATTAATTATTTATGATGTTCAATATATTTATAACTTTTTATTTAAATGCAAGAAAACATAAAATAAAATTATTTAAAATAAAATTAATATTAACATAAAAATAATTATTCAGTAAAGTCTTCAATTTTAATACATCTTTTTTAAAAAATAGTACTATAACTACAAGTACTAACCCCCTCTTGAAATTGCATGTTTAATATAGAAGGAAAAACCCCCACTCTACTGTTATTCTTGGGCTAGAACTAGAACTAAAATATTCATTCCTTGCCTTTTGAATCGTGGACTTTAAGAGTTAAACCTTCATTTGGGATATCGGTGGAAAATAGACATGTATTATAGAACAATTTAGCATTTAACCTGAAAAATTAAAATTTACCACACGAACAAAGAGCATAAATTTTGACAGCAAAAGAATCATAAATTACTTGCAATAGAAGACCAAAGGAAAGTGATTATATGGTAGAAAATGAAACATGCTAAGTGAGATTATGTTAGCAAAAAGTCAAAAGTTACAGGTTGACAGAAAATAACTATTAATGTAATTTTTTGTAAAATTATATGATTATATAGCCAAATACTTTTTTTTTTTTGAAAATTGAATCAGAAATTTATCGAGAAGAAGCTGTATACTATAGCCAAGCGATTAAGTCATGTTCTCGAAACATATCCTGCTTAGCAAGGGAATCTGTGAAATTGTTTGCTTTCCTATAATTGTGAACAAAGGAAAAATTTTCCAATACATGCTAGTAGATTGAGAAATCAATTGATAATTGTATTATATCGCCATGGACTTTCACTTGTCTTCTTAAGTCACGATCTTGCAATGATCGAATCACTTTCGACAATTATTTCTGGCATTGGATGTGGTTTTGCCTCAACAATGATCAATATACCCTCAACAACAGCCAAGAGTTCTGCCAAATTTGAGTCTGCTAAACCAATATGCTTTGAGAATATGAGGATTACCTTGCCAAACCAGTTTCGAAGCACAACCCCAATGCCTGCTGGGCCAGGCTTACTATAGTTGATCCATCCACATTAAGCTTCCAGCATCCCA